TGGTTTGTCTGCTTAGTGTTGAAAAGTGCTTTTCTTAACAATGTTTGGTAAGGAATCAGTGTTCTCTGCTATCCTTCTTTTCCTCTTTAGCCAAAGAACTTCCCTCTCTGTACATATTTGGGCAAGTATTACTCACGATTCATTTTGTAGCTGTCTCCAGAAAAATGTTGAGGTGGGGGTGGTGATGCTAATAGGAACTTCCAAAATGTCCTTCATTTGATCCCATCACTTAATTTTAACCCTAGCAGATTAGCATTTTAAATAAATTGCATTAATCCTGTGTGACCTACCTACAGCTATCCATTTAAGATGTAACTCAGGTATGGTCATAATTTGGGAAAGGTTGAAATCAGGAGTCTAACCACAGTGGGAGCAGGGGATAGTTTGTCAAGGGAGCCAGCGACAGTGCAAGGCGTGTTGTGGTCCTGTTTGCTCTGTTTAGGTGCAAAAAGGAAATTGGAAAATGCCCCATTTTAAGAGTTTGATTTTACAGTAGTGATGTCTTGAGGTGTCCATGAGATGCTCCAGGAATTCCTGTGGGACTATCCAGATAAAAAGTTAACTGTGCAGGTGGCTGAGTGATGCAGGCCCCAGGCCTCATTCTGTTTATGACCAAGCAGCGTTGTAGCTAGACTATGATAGATAGGTAGGTAGGTAGGTAGGTAGGTAGATCCTAAACCCCACATACGGCATTCTTAGAATGAGCGTACTGTATGGCTGTCATTCCAGTTGCAAAGACAAATGACGCTTCTAGCCCATATAATGAAATAATTTTCTGGGGCAGTATAAGCTACATAATAATGAAAAGGTTTGCCAGCTTAGCTGTTATTTTTCTAGGAAAGCAGCTTTTTGCATTTTTGCTGTTGTTATGGTCCTGATTAACATAGTTATTCTAGAAGTCTGCTTTAGGCCCAACGTTGCATCCATTCCGTTCACATCTCACTAGGGTGAAATCCCAGGAATAATCCCAGTGCTTTGGAAGCATAACTGTTTCAGGTGATACTGTAAAATAGAGGTCATGAAGATCCTGTGACAAGTTCTGCTAGATACAGAGGTCAGCCATGATGTAGCTGGTCAAATCTTCCGCTCAATGTATTGTTCTGCTCTGACTTGCATAGTTATCACTTCCTTCTCCAAAGGAGCTGCATTTTAAATGAAACTAAACTGAAACCACTCTGGCAGGGTGGCACATCATTGGCCTAAGTGGAACAACAGCACTGGTTGTTATGTATGAACCTGACACTCGAGCTCACAGAAGTTTCCCACTAGTGTGTTCTAGCATTTTTGTGGGTAAAGGGAGTTATGCACATTTAAAACTAGGTTACTCTGTCTTTTTTTCCTATCTGCATTTTGATGAAGCTGAAGCTTAAACTTTTAATAAAAGACCTGTCTGTAGAAGGATATGCATTCAAGAACCAACAGCCACCGTGGATTAAAAATACCTTCTAAAATATGTTTATTATGCTATTATTATTATTATATGTTTATTATATATTTCCCCAAATAACATTATTATTATATGTTATTTGGGGGAAAAAAAAATCTTTGGAGAATACTGTTTGGTCTGTTTATTGTCTTTAACTGACTAACTGGCCTGGCTGCATTCAACCATTTCTAGATGAGTTCTCAAGAGCTGTTCTAGCGTATGGCCATTTCTCGAGTGTGTGCAAGCTTTGAAATCTGTTGAACTTTCCGTTCAAAAAACTCTTATAAGAACAGAGTCCCAAAGGATCATTGATACAGGAAAGCAAAGCAGACTCATGAACAGTTTTGTGAACTCATGAAAGATGTGCTTTCGACTTCATGAGCAGTCTGATCTGCTGCACATTACCCACACATAATTTTGAGAAGGTCTGGAGCTGACGGAGGAGTGATATTCCTGGAGCAGTAGTATATGCATGAATAACACAGTGGCCTTTACTCATTCCTGTCCCCACTCCCAAGCCTCAGTTGTGGTGGCATAAAAGCTCAGTCAGGCCAATTAAAGAGATTTCTTTAAAGGCCTGAGCTGTACTGTTTGGAGTCAGTGAGAGGAAAAATAAAAAAATGTGTATGTGGAAGTGACTCCTTGCTACCAGGCTGTCCTCATCTTGGCATTGCTGTTACACTAGAAACGCCCAGTGCTGGATGAGAAGGGACCTTTTTAGGGGAAAAATTTTGGTGAACTCAAGTTTTACTGAGGAGTCATTCAGGGATGTCTTCTAGCATGCAGAGAATACGTTTGCTCACAAGCTGGCATCATCTTTCCAAATGCAACCCAAGAGTTGCCTTAAATACAGTGTCAGTGCCATGAAATAAAGCACCTGTGAAGTCTGCTGAGGAGCTGGAAGGAAACCGTGGCTTCTGGCTATCATTTGGACCAGCTTAATGTGCTCTGGAAAAAAAAAATTTTCACACGTCATATCACACCGGCTGGAAAAATAGTGCACATCAGCAGTGCTGTAACACAGAGTAAAGGAGTCGCAGCAGGTGTTAACGTGCAGAGGCACAGAGCATTATGGTAACACCTGTGTTTGTCTAAACCCAGCCAAAACAATTTCCTCTCCAGTTGTAGAGGAGGATTAAAAAAAAAAAATCTACCCAACTTCCAGTAGTAGCAGGTATTTCCTGTAAAGCAATTTGCATAGCATTCCCCATGGTGCACGGTGGCTGCGCTGTGTTTTTTCTCTTCAGACTTTTTTAGTTTGGGGGCATCTTTGGTAACTTCAGTGACCCCTGACCACCTCTTTGTCTCTTGCCACCGTTGCCGGGCCCGAGCAGTTGCAGATGGTGTGCTCTCTCAGTGCTTTCCTTAATTGAATGAAAAATAAAGCCTCTTGTAAAATATTACGAATTTAGATGTGACTTATGGGGCACATATGATGCTTATTTTTTCAATTACATGAAAACTTGGCGTGGTTAAACACAGGAAGCCAAGTGTTCTGTGAAGCTGGTATAGATTTCTGGATTTTTAGGTGATTTTGCTTTAAATTATTATATAGCAGAAGGGGGTGAAGGAAGTCAGCAGCTAAACTGTGTTTTCCCAGCATGTATTTCACTCAGTGGACCCTTGATGCTCATTTCATGACTAATATATGCTGTACTATATGCATTTCTTGTTGTCACCAGAGATAGCATTAAGTAAACTATCCCCTTAAGAAAAACAGCTTTTCTTGGCAAGTGGAATATGACTCAAGGAGCCAGCACTGGAGACATACGGTGCTGTGAATGAGTTCTGTGTGTTACTCTACTGGATCTGAGTCCAGGCACTATTTATACTGCAGCATATTCAGCACCAGATTGTTAAATCTTAATACTGAAACAGTGCATCATTTAAATGTTTTTGTTCTGTTTATGTCCCATTTTCAAGCGTTGGATATCAAGCAATACTTACTAACTTTTTGTTTCATTTGGACAAGATCTCCCCTTGCCAAAAGATTTCTAATCTGCTCTTGAAATATTAGCCCATCTGTACCAGCATGTTACAGTGAAACTTTGTGCCACTGAGGATGAATGAGGTTGCTTCCAGTTTCTTTCCATATGTGGTGATAGAATACCTTGCAAAGTAATATGTCAATGGTAAATGCAAAGGTTTAAGTGCTACAGAAAAGGAGTTGTACTAAAATTATTTCCTCTTCAACCTGTATAGGAATGGGGTAAAAAAAAATTCCATAGCAGGTATTTCATGGGCTCATAAGCATTGTGTTCTGTCATTCTCTCTGTGCAAGAAGCTTTGTTTCACTGGTTCAGGGGTGGTATTTATTTTATGGTCATGTTTGGGAGACCAGGATAAAAGGCTTTTGCCATTTATTTCAGCTTGATCAGTTCCAGAGCTGGTGAAGAACTGGGAGTAGAAACTGAGGAGGAGAGGTTTTAAGTGTCTTGGTATCACAGCATCCTTCCAGATACCCAAGGAGGGTTCCTGGAGCTCGTGTTACCACAGAGGAAGTAGTTTTCTCATGTATTAGTGTATTTCTGGCAGTAGAGATTACAGATGGTCTTTTCAAAGATGGAAAAGTATAGAAGCAGACCTCCAAAGGCATCAATTTAAATGGGACAAAAGGTGATCGGTGTCTTGTAGGGCTGTGCTGAGAAAAGTTACGTGAGCAGAACAGTGGGGCAATGGCAACACAGTGGAGGAGGCAATAAAAGCAGTGGTTGCAATAATGCAGAACAAGGCCAAACTGCTTTGCTCTCATGTAAGATGGCACTGTGGCTTGCTTTGTTTGGCGTCTTCCTGGAAGTCATTCCTGGGTATTAGTCACTGTTTGTGGTGTGGGTGGGCCCTCTGCAATTGTCTAAACAGAAATAATACCTCTGCACCAAATGGTTTACCATCCAAGTTTACAGTCTTTGTGACAAGCTCATCCAGAAGAGGTGATGATCCCTATTAAAGAATAGACAGAAGTAGAAATAGGACTTACAGCATTCTCCCCCGCCCCCAAAATGCTATTTTGGATCTGCGGTCAGCAGCTTGCAGTTGTTTTTTTCACGAAGAAAAGCAACCGTCTGCATAGTGCAACTTGTAGCTGGGAGTGAACTCTTCCTACTTCGTGGGTTTCCAGTGCCATCCATCCACACTGGGAGTCGTACCATGCTTAGATTGTAATTGTGTGCTGAAAGCCCACACGTAGGAATTTTCCAGTTCAAGTCAAAACCAATGCATTTATTTACTGAAGCGTTTTGTAGACTGCAAAATCAGGACTATAGAGTATTTAAAGCTTGTTCTAACTTAGAGAAATAGGCTTTAGTGGGATGATGAAAGATGTGAAGGAAGGAAGCTTCCTCTGCTTCCTTGAAGTAATTTAAGAGCCAGGAACATGTCAGCAACTCTCTGCTAAGAATGTAAAATCTATTCCTACTCTTTCCTATTGTTTGCTTCAGGAGTCAGGACAACACATCTTTTTGAGTGAGACTGCAATAAACCTCAAGGCGGATCCTGAATCTCATGAACAAACAAGCCTATCAAAGGGTTTGGTAAATGGCCGATAAAATATAAAGTGTGAATTTTTTGTTTTCAGGAATAATCAAGCTTGGGAGGTGGAATCCCCTCCCTCTCAGTTATGTGACTGATGCACCAGATGCGACAGTAGCCGACATGCTACAAGATGTCTATCATGTTGTGACATTGAAAATCCAATTACAAAGGTGGGTGTTTCTGAACATCTGTCCTTCTCTATTCTCTGAGCTGCTCTGTCGATTACAGCATTACTACAGAGATTAGCACATCCTGTCTTCATTAATTTCTGGAGTTTTGATGAAATAAAAAGAAAAATGAAAAGAAGGGTGGGTCACCTGGCAGTTTTTTTGAGCATGTTCCAATTGATTTTATATGTTTTCTGAAGTAGCAATATGGTAGCAGAGAGGGGAGGGGCAGAATCTCAATCAAGTATAGATATGGGGCCCTTAAAGGCAGACCGTTCCACAGTCCCTAATTTAATGGATTCTCAAGGCTTGGTTGTATCAAAAAATTAAAATCCTTGCCATTTTCCAGGTCTTCTGCTGCCAGTTGCTGAGATGGGCAGAAAAGGAGCTTGTTAACTTTCCTTTTTTTCTTCAATGGTATTCCCAGCGAAAAGGCAAGAACATGAGGAAGGGATGTGTTACTGCAGCTCCATTTGTCATTTGGAAAATATTTTCCTTCAGTGATTGCTAGTCTGATCAGCAGAGCAAAACACTTACACTTACTTGCGCCTTCTTCCCCCACTTCCGCTTTTTCTCCCCCTTTCTCTCTATTGGTCTTCAAAAGAGTCCTCAAATAGCTACTGATGTCTGCGTAAAGGAGTTGCGGCAGGTCCCTGGCAATGCATGGTATACTCTAAACCTACTGGTAAGCCTACATTGCACAGTCTGCTGTAGCGCTATGGCCAGGACATGTCAGAAGAAAGAGGCAGAGATAACAGACATCCTGGAATAATTTGCCCACAATTATTTGAAGCTCAACTTGAACAGAAGAGGGGACCATTGGGACATGTGTCTGTGTCCTTTGGTGGCAGGTACAATACCCTCCAACTGTTCAGTTCAGTTTTGAATTTGGAAGTAGTTGGTGCCTCACTGATATTAACCTCCCAGACAGCAACAATTCTTTCCTGTTGTATCTCTGATGGGGCTTAGGGTTTCCAGTTCCCACTAACAGGCATTTCTTTGGTTTTATATACTGTTACCATTTCTCAGCTAGACGGCATTTCTGCAGCATAGTTGTAAGAGAGAATTTAGAGCCTGTAGCTGCTATAAAACTGGAGTGCAGTAACTCATCTCCTTAGAAGTATGAGCTACCAGGAGTCCATCTAGTGTATTGTCATGTCTGTATTACTGGAGGGTACCAACCCAAGATCAAGGTCTCAGTCTTTATCTTCAAAGTGCTTGAATGCCTGGATGCTGTGTAAACAAAAGATAGCCCGTGACTTTGAGATAAAGATGGTCATTGACTACTTGAACTCCTCAAGCGCAACTGAACTTTCAACTCTGAGGGTAAAGCCAGGCTGTATAGGCAGAAGACAGAACCACCTTAGAGGCTGATTGGAGAGCATGCATTCAGTTTCTCAGGCATGAATGGCAATGACAGGCTTCTCCCAACTTTCTGATGTGCTTCTTGGGTCTGTCTCCACGTATCTAGATGCAGACCATAAACTTGTTAAATTAAAAGAGGCACAAGGCACACAAAGACAAAAGCTTCACTACCTATGCAGTTCTTGTAGACTGAAAGTGAGAATGAACTACATGTGACAGATGTTGGGCCTATGGCTTAATTTGTTTCTGAAAGGCTCTCGGATACTTCAGCAATGAGGGCAGTTATAGGAACCAGTACCAAATACAATTAATTTTTCAGACTCACTGCTCAAAGCCTTGGCTCCACACAGTGTGGGCCCTTACAATGTAGGGATTTCGTTAGTGACAGTGTGGCATTCACGTTCATTTGTCTATCCCAGCAGGAGTATCTTTCTCTGGAGAGGATGGCTTTATCCAGCCATTTCTGGGGCTTGCTTTATGCAGTTTCTTTGCTTTCCACCAGGCTCCAGAGAGAATGGTTATGCACACTTACAGTATCATAGTAGGATTAGCTGCTGTTCCTGCCATATACTGTCATTCTTTTAGTTGAACTACACGATTTCTGGGCGTTGGGCTTGATGGGGAGGAGAAAGAGGGGAGAAATACCTTTTATGGGCTGGCTAGGCAGGAAACTCCAAGGTTGTGCTGGCTGTTTAAAGGTCTATAGCGTTTGTACGCAAAGAGTAAGCATCTAGGAAGGTGATGATTCTATCTACTTTTTGCTTTCTGTTTTAACAGTTGTTCAAAGTTGGAAGACTTGCCAGCAGAGCAGTGGAACCACGCCACAGTTCGCAATGCCTTAAAGGAACTGCTTAAAGAGATGAATCAGAGCACGTTAGCCAAAGAATGCCCTCTCTCACAGGTCAGTGTTTTTAACAGGCTTAGGGAAAGCCAGATTTACAAGATCTAAAGCTCATATTTGTTCAGTAAAGGGCTTAGACTAAACAATTCCATAAATATAAAATCAATTCTTGTTTCCTTTAGAAAGGAGAACTTGTAATTATTATGAAAAAGAGTATCTTTATACCATGTTTTCTTACTGGGTTGCCAGGTGGAAATTATGAATGAATTGGTTGATTTTTATCCTGCTGTTCAGAGAGGTGTAAATTCTTCATTTAGGTCTTTATCTGAGCCTTTTGCGATAGGACTAATGATCCTCAAATACAAGATTTGAGTTGCTTCTTCCCACTAGCAGAGGCCTGCCTCCCCCACTAACCCATAGGTAGCTCTCATCAGCCTCCAACTATGATAAAAAGTATGCTGTTTTAACAGTTGTGCCCCAATTTCTAGGAAACAGCAACAAAAAAGGTATATGTAATTATGTTAAAAAAAGAACAAAACCTCAGTCTTATTCTCCATGACTGCTTCATAAACAACAGCGATGTCATGTCTAAGACACTGACACAGGTTCCTACAGCTATCGTGAGCTCTATTTGTACTTCAGATTGTCATAACAAGAGATTAATAAAATTTTCATGACTGAGTCCTCCTTGCCTCTTAGAAAAAAGAGAAAAACACTTCAGCGCTCAGACCAAGTAATTTTGCTGGAAGTGAAAAATACATTGCCTTCTAAAAACTTTATTAGAATCATAGGCTAATCTGTCTATTGTATCTTAAAAAAGTAAAAACATCAGTAATCCCTGCTTGCTAGCCCATTTCCAATGTTTTTTCTCCTGTGGTTGCCTGTCTTGCTTTGCTCTGTATGCTTATCCTGCAATTCATGATCCAAAGCCTCTGTGAACCAAGAGGGTTCTTTCTATGTATAACCAGCACAAATTTGCCTCACTGTGTTATGATTACAGCTGCAGAGGTGAGATACAGAGCAGAATTTAGGTCTTTGCAATTGGTAGGAATCACGTTCCTCATCTTCCTTAGCCACGTTGGGTCTGCAGAACTAACAGGAATGGAAAGGCCGTGTAAGGAAAAGCCATGTAACTTGCCATATTGACTAAAGGAGTAGCAGTGACTCTAGATATGCATAGAGCATAAGTGCGTTGAATACGAAAGTATTTTTATTTTCACACAGTTTAAGTCTAATTTCTTGAAATAGAATTATCTATGGAATCTGGTCAGCTAATGATGATTGCAGCATATGGTTGTATCTGCCCAGTCTTCTTCAATATCCAGTATAACTAAACTATGCATAATTTCATATGCAGAATTCATATGTCTGGGTCGTCTTCCTCCCACTTCAGTTTCAAAGCCTAGCAGGTGGAAATGCTGCAGTTGGTTTACTCCTCCTATAGCCTCAGTCTGAAATATATTTACAAAATTACTGATGGCAGGACTGTAGCAGCAACAGTCCTTGCCCCAGTATTTACTTAGTGAACAAAGCTAAAAGGAGATCCTTCCATAGAAAATAGAGCTTGTGTACTTTTAAGCACAGGTGTAAGTGACCTTGAGTACTGACTAACTCTTGAACTGGGACTGCAAGAATGCATTTTGTATTATTATTATTAGTAGTAGTATTAGTATTATTACTGCCATAAAAAGTCGCAGCCTCTATTGTTTTGGCTCACAAAATGCAAAAGATACAATGAAAGGTTGTATGGGAGCTGTCTGTTACCATCATCTGAATATGCCTCTAATACAATTCCTTCTCCCAAATCAGTTTTAAAAAAATATCGTGCCAAATGTGAAATGTCATTACAACCCCCTTGTGGTTAATATATTATTGACAGCAGCAAATTGCAGAGTGGTCTCTTAGGAGTCAAACTGCAGAGTAAATGCTGCTGTTTATTAATGTGTTCGCAGTGCCTCAAGTACAGAAGTGGAGAGGGGCAGCGCAGGGAGCTCTCGCTCCCGCCAGCGACGGTGCTCCGTCTCTGGTTCTCGGTGCCCGAGCTCTCCATGCAGCCCAGATGGGGATTCTGATTGCCACTAATGGGAAATGTAATCATTCACTTTGATTTAAAATTGTTCTGTTTTTTTTCTGCTAGGTGTATTATGTGGCTGCAGCTTAGCTACCCTTAGCATACGGCTCCTGTTCAAATAAATAAATCCCAGTTAACCAAGCTGGAGGGAAGGAGGGTAGGTGGGGGGAGTGTGTGGCAGAAAGAAATCCAATTATTTCAGCATTTCCATCTTTGCATAGAGACCTTTGTCTTTCCTGTGTATTATATAAGTCATTTCAGCACTGACCATGCATTTTGCCTCTTTGCGGGAGCAAGATTTCTTGGGATGTGAGCATGTCCCATATTTTTCTCCTTGAATGTACTGCACTGGATTTTCTTTGTGTGGGTATTTCTTAGCTCCTGGTCTAAGTAGTTTTTATTCCACATGGCTGTAATGGCTACACACATACCAAACATATCTGCTACTTCATATAATGTATTCCTTCCGTAAGGATTTTCCCAGGCATAACATGCATTATTTAGAAATTTGCAATTAGTCAGTGGGTTTTTTTGCCACTGACTTCTGAATGGATATTTCCTTTCTGCAGACTTATCAAGATTCCTAGCAGAAATACCCCTAGGGTTCCTTTACATTTAATAGTGAGGATATGTAGCTTGAAAGTTCTTTCTTACGGTTCTTTCCCCTGCTCTACTGTCAAGCAATTGAAGAGAATCTGTTTGGGATTTTTCACCAATGGTTGATTTACTATTTGATTTTACTACTTAGTTTAAGTCTTGCTTTCTCAAATAAAGGTTAATACATTCTGTGATATGTAATAGCCCCACAATTTCAGTAATGTCAATTTTTTGTAGAGCTGAAGGATTTGGTGGAGGGGAAAAAACAATTTGTTATGTAGACAGAGCTAAATAATTTCCCCACCCTTTCTTAGTGACTGAAAATTCAAGTAAAGTGACACTGAAAAAAACCCAAGTTATCTCAGCTCAACTTTGTTCAAAATCCTTCCTTAGCAGAGGCTATGTCTGTGTTAGGCTTTCAGAATACTGTTGCTTGTAAAATGACCTAGAGCAAGGGAGGATTTACGGGGAGGGAATTGCTGCTGACTGCCACAATGCTAGGTTTATGTCTCAAAATATTGATTTTAATTAGAAAATTGAATCTTGGTTTTAGAAATTGAAGCTGCCTCTTAAAAAGGCACTTACTTCATAGCTTTCAGACTCCACTGCAGTGCACTATAGCAGCCTTCGAGTGGAGAAGTTAAAGTGAAAAGGCAGAAGAGCCTCTTCACTGAAAGTGAAGTTACCTGTTGAAGACTGAAACTAATCTGCACCACAAAGTTATCTTAAGTCTACCAGTTGTGCTCACATTTTTTAGGTCCTCAAAAAAGAGTTCAGGAACAGCTGGAGTCCTGGGATATTGCAGGGAATTGGGTAGAAAGCTGTATAAAGCTGGAAGAGGGAGGGTATGTTTTTGTTTCTAAAGCATTGTTAAAATCAAAAAAGCCAATGTGTAAGCCTTGTCGCTTTCCAGAGATGGCCGAGAGCCCATTTTGCCCAAGAGCCTGCAGGAGCTGGTGGGCCAGAGCTTGAACCTACGGTAAATAGCTCGTTCGAGCTGTGAGATCATCCTCACTCTCTCGTCTCTGTGCAGAAAGGTCATACAATGTGCCAGGCCTTTTTCTGAGCTTTGACGTAAGTGAGGAAAGGAAGGCATAAGAAAAATGTGATTTCTGGAGAAGGAGCATTGGCTCCCATATGTTAGTGGTGTTGGATTGCATTTCCTTGCTGTATGTGCAGTGGGAATGATTTGACCCTGGAACAGTTGAGGAAGGGGGAAAGGAAAGCAAAATGTTGTTGTTAAAAAGATGCCTCCTCTATAGCATGGATGAAGGAAGGGGAGAAAAAAAAGTAAGGAAGAACTACCAGTAACAGGGCACTTTCCCACCCTATGGGCAGAAGCATCGCAGATATAAAGTATCATTTTTACGAGTATCAGGTGCTGCAGAACAGCTCTGCTCCTCTCTGCTTCAGTTGGTTTGTACTGAGTCGCTTAGAGGGAATTCGCTCTGAGTAGAGAGGGATGGTGGTTAAGCAAGTGGTATTTCAGTTTTGTTGAGCTTTTTTGTGGGTTTTGGCTGTTCTGCATTGTAGTACACGTATTTCCCTTCGCTCTGAATGGCACTATTAATTTCTCTTTTGGGTGATTTTTCACACGACGGCTAATCACACGTTTCTATAAATTATATTAATTTAACTTATTTGCCTAACTGGTGTTCTGCAGCGAGTAGCACGGATGTTCTCCAATTCTTGGCTGTGTGGTCTCGCTGCATTTGGAAGCAGAACAGAGACATCTGAAAAGCATTATTTGGATTATGCATGCTGGAGCATCTAATCTTACCTTTAGGATCTGGTTCCTAAATCATGCTTGTTCTCACCCGAGTGCAGTGGGCATGTGTTCCCCAGCACGGCACCACCTTTTATTATGCAACCGAAGTTTAGATACTGTAATATCACAAGTACAAAGTAAAGTAGAACTGCCCCCCCCATGCCACCTGAGCTGCAGCTCTCAGTCTAGGTTTGTACTGCATCTTTTTTGCATTATTATGAAAAATAATAATAATAATTTTCTAATTTTAATTATGTCTGGTAACACAGAATAAAACCAATTTTGTGTACTCATCAGATACTTCTTTTGCTTTTAAAGTCGCAAATGGGTGATCATTGTGCACTTGCATGTCATTCACCTTCCCTGGTAAAGGTTTCTAATTGTGCAAGATATTTTAAAACACTTTTTGTCTTTCTTTCTGTACTTCCAGAGTATGATTTCATCCATTGTAAATAGCACATACTATGCCAATGTGTCAGCAACCAAGTGCCAGGAGTTTGGGAGATGGTACAAAAAGTACAAGAAGATTAAAGGTAAATTGATTTTTTTTGTGACTTTCCAAGTTCTTGCACTGACAGTTTGAGATTATTTGCTTTAAGTAAAAGTGATAATAAGTTATAATAATATTAGTGGATTTGTCTACAAAGAGGGCACAGTCACAGCACATTAGAAATTAAATCTGATCCTTTACAAACAAGGCTGGCATGAAAACACAGGCCACTTAAAACGTGCTTAAAATATCCCATTTAGCTGTGCTGAAAGATCAACTGTGTTTTGAATTAAGCTAAAACATTTTGGAAAAAAAAAGTTCTAGTAGTTCTGGATTAAAAAGTGAAATGGCTATGTAAATTACCTTAGTTGCATTTTATTCATGAAAGCTAAAAAACTGTCTTTCTAAGTTACATGTGCCCTTGCTCTCTGTTTTCAGTACCACTAAGTGTACTGGCATTCCTGCCTTGTTTTATTGTGTGGAATCTGGATACTAGTGGTGCATTTAATGTTTGTTAGGAGACGTTGCTAAATAACAAGGTGCTGCACCACTGAAGTTAAGATGAAAATAGCCTACTGTTTGTATTTTTTCTACAACGAAGTTACATTAGTTGGTTAGCAGTGAATGCCTCAGGCAGTAAAATGATTTTACAAGTTCATCCCACTCTGACCCTGAAATGTTTGATCACCTTCTAATAGTACATGAAGTGATGTGACAAGCATCTATCGTGTAGTTTCTTCTTTTTATTAATTCTTTCCTTTGGGAAAGGACTCGTATGTGTACTGGATCATTTGTGTACTGAACCATTTGTTTTGGTAGGTTTTTCACTTTAAAACACATCTGTGCTTTGAGCAGGAGTTTGGGGATAGTCAAAAGCTTTTCCACAATACCAACTGGCTCCCTCTCTCCCCAAATGTCCATCAGCCTTGGAGATTAGCTTTACCCTGTGATAGGTTTTTCCACAGTTTTTTTCTCTGTTACATCATTGAAGGGAAGATTCATTGTCTCCAAGAAGACATAGACTATTTTTCTGTTGTTTCTGTCTGTGATCCTTTCAGTGGCCACGAAAATCATAACAGGATTCGCAAGCATTATGCAGAAATAGGGTAATGTCCTTCTTCAGAAGCCATTGTATTTTCAGTCACATGAAGATTAGCATCTTTCAAAAAAAGTCTGCCATCTTTTTCTCTTAAAAGGCAGGCATACATGAGTGATGAAAGGTTGCTTGTTTAGTTTCTGTAGGACAGACTAGAAATCTGCATGATAATAGCATAAAGAGTCTGCTGCTTGAGTTAGGAACACATGAAACAATTGCATAAAATATCAGAACAAGTTCTGAGGCATCTGGTTTTTCTCTGCATGTCTGGCTTGCATGGAGCATACCTGTGAGATGCTCAGGCCTGGGCTGTGCAATGACGAGATTTTCACGGGAGGCGGGGGACAAGAAGGTTTTATGGAAAATTACTTTCTAGAAGGAAGATTGTTCAGGCAGAAGTGGGGTAATAATGTAGATGAGGAAATGGAGGTGTTGCTTTTCACCTATGAAAATGATTTAGGCTTGAAGTAAAACTGTTGGTTGGACATTTTAGTACATGTCTACGCTCCTGCCAAATAAACTGGATAGTTTCTTCTCTCTTTAAATTGCCATTGTGTGACTCAGAATTGTTTCTTTCTCTACATGGTGTCTCCTAATAAAAGAATTTCATTTGAAGTGCTGTAACATATCCTCTTGCTTAAAAAACAATCAAAGGAATCAAACAGCTTCAAGGTCATCACCGTTTGCTTTTACTTGCCATTCTAGGAGAACAGAGGCAGGTGCTTTTTTTTTTTTTTTTCCTTCTTTTTTCCAAACTGGGTAAGGGTGCCAGTTGCAGAGGCATTGGAAGGCCTTAACTGTAGCGTTCTTAAGTGCAGAGATGCCACTACAGCTTCTGAGTGTTTCTAGTACGCTGCTGTCTTCCACTTTCTTCCATTCGTAGAGCACTGAGTTCTTTAAGCTCTTACTTTTTTTACTTAGTAAGTGCACAGTTAAATTGTTAAGTGCAGTAAAAGCAGAATGAGACCTCAATCAAGAGGTCAAGGATCCAAACCTGAAGAGTTTGCCAGATAACTCTGTATCTGTGCTATTCAAAGAAATGCAGCCAGTCGTTGCTGTTTGGAAGTGTATGTGTATGTTAGGAGGAGGAGAAAAAGGAAGGTTAAGGTATGTGTGAAGTAAACACAAGCTGCTATAAAGCGGTTCAAGTAGTGTTGATTCATCAACCATATGAGTGGGAGAGAAAACAAAGAGTCTGTGGCAGGTACAGTGGTGCATGGAGAATAACAGCCATGCAACTTCAGGGCGGTAATCTAAACCCCCTGGAAACAGGAAGACTTCTGCACTTCTTTGGGTGGTTTCAATTTCTCATCTCTGTTTTCATCACATTCTGTTTCTTTTCTGTAGCCAGATATTCCTACAGGACAGCTCAGTTAGTATGCCAAATCAGCGACTTGAGTTAGATGCTTCAGTCATCACATAGTTCCTCTAATAATAATTTAAAAAAGGACTTAGGTTTTTCATGAAGGTGGATGGATGACACAATTAATTTTTTGGCTTGTGATCCAGAGAAGGTAAAACTGTAATTTAGAGTCTTTGGGACCAGCACCCATATCGATGTGTAACTCTAGAGCTGGTTATTAGAAAGTAAAAGCAAAAAACAATTCACATGAGCTGTGGTAAATGCAAAATAGGAAGGGGCTTCAAAATGACTTTATTGACGTTGCAAACTAAATGCAGCCTACGGTGTTAAATGTGTTTCATATTATCTGCTAATGTCTGTTTTAATAAAACAGTGGGAACTAAATGGTTGCTTCTTAATCAAAACCATGATTTCCTCAACATAAGCTATGTGATTCTGTTACAAATTGCCACATATAGATCTCCTAGGTCAAATTTTTTTCCTTTCTCATAGAAATAAATAAACAGTAAAATAATTATACACTCTGGAAGATCAAAGTAATTACAACTGAATCCAGGCAAAAATAAAAAGTTCTCTGAAAAAAAAAAGAAAAAAGAAAAGCATCAGGTTGCCGAGTATATAGTTAATGTTTAAATAAATATAAGAAAGTGAACAATCAATAATTTGATATCATTAGCAACAGATGTAAAAGCTGTACACAAATGGAATTGCATCAAATCTCAAGTAAACATTCTCAGTGTGCATTCTGTTGAACTCACCGAAAAGACAGCTAAACTGTTTATGCTCATAATTTAAAAAAAGTTTTCAGTTAGTTCAGCTCAGCATGGTAATTTTGTCTTGTGTCAAGACGATGCTAGAATAAAATTCTGCTTGAGTTTTTTCTCCCACCCCGCCCCAACCCCTTAAGGTTTTAAGACATTCACAGTTTACTCAGTGGCACGAGAGTTAGTATACAGACAGATTCTGGAACTGACTGGTGTGAGGATGGAGGCTTTTTGTCTTCTCCTGGCTCCTAACCACTTGGGGTACGTGCGAGGACATGAATGAGTTTATAACAGGATGTCCAGTCTTTCCAGTCCCTTTGGGATATACGTATATACTTGAAGGAGAGCTTATAGTAACACAGTTCTAATGGAAAATATGCAGTAGCTGGGGAACAAAAAGCTTACAATTCTTCTGTGAACTTTCTCATCCCCTCATGGACATCTGTAATTATATGGGGTGGTAATTAGGCTATCTAGTTTGTATTGTAATTTTGTTCAGAATAGGCACCATGAATGAATTTAGTATTACTATATGAAGCCTTTTTTTAACTCTTTTTATTTACTTTTAAATTTTTCTTCTTTTTGAAGGATGCAAGGCATTTTAGCGCACAGTTGTGCATACATGATGGGGTTTAAGTGTTTTTAAACCTACTTGAATAAAGAATTAGAGCTGTCCCTTATTAATAAAGGTTGCATATTAATTGATGACAACTATACAGCGAGGGATTAGTCCAGTGGTTCTAAAACTGTCTTTCTCCTGCCCAGTCTCACTGGGTTACTTCGCTCAATCTGAGAACTGCTCATCTGGTTTCTCTGGATGCTGAACTTGCTGAAGCTGGGAGAAAGTATTCCACGTTGTTGAAATTCAGGATTTGAATAATTATTTAAAAGGCTCGCATTGATTCTTAATTTGATTAACAAATAGATACACAAATAAAAATAAGACTTTTAAAGTAACTAAGGACATATATACATGTATATAAATAACTATATATATAACTATATATAAACTATATGTATATATGACAAGAGAAGTATTTCAGAACTTTGCCATGTGACTCGGATTACTGTCAAGGGATAAGACTTGTACCAGTTCCCTACTCATTGCCCAGTGTTTTGGGTTCATAGCATTTAGAAAATTTTTTAGCTCTATTTCTCGACAGATACTTCACTTCCAAGTGTCATGCTTTCTATTTTTATCAGGAGGACTATCAGTGTATCAAAATTCTTTCACAACTGAAACTCTTAACTGGTGTGAATTTTTTCTTTTTGCCTGATGACACAACTTAGCTTGGTGGGAGGAAGTTGGGAAGGCAGAGGGGAGAAATAAATACATTGTGAACTTAAAAATAAGAAGACATATTTTCTTTGTCTCTGTATTAAGGACATTTAATCTTTGCTCCTGCTATCAGTGGCTGTCAAAATACAGCTTTCTGTGGATGTGAGTTTTGAGACTGTGGCAGTCTCAAGGTTTTTGTGGAATCATGGAGCTTTTCAGTTTAAAGGACGAGGGCTCAGTTATTTGTATTTCAACAGATCAGGAATGTAAGAAAAAGCATTTATAGCTTCCTTATATTGAGAATCTGCTTTGGCTGCTCTTTGATTTTTCCAATGTTACTGATTTGTTGTTTGTGTGTTATTTTATTCTTCAAAGTACGTTTGCTTATTTCCCATAACGGATAGGCAGAGCGATCTGTTTTTCTTATAATGTGTTCTAGAAGCTGTTGTAGGTTGAGAGAGGTTAGAAACAGGATTCAGAAGGGATCCCAGCTTTCTTATTTCCAGGCTGAAGGAACCTAGGATTGCAGCACCGTGATAAT